AAAAAAGCCAAGTGGAAAGTGAGGTGCGAGACTGACATTGCGCATTGCTCTAAAATACAAAATTCTTAAGAGAGAAATCACACTGTTGTCCCTACAGAGTGTTTTAATATATTTCTAAGTACAATTCGTGTCTGATTCTGGAAATACAAATACATTTTGAATGGTTAAAAACAAAAATTAAAAAAATATTTCGAACATCAGCCAGCTGAAAATATATTTTTCTAATAAATCATCTCTCAAAGCTTTTATATATTTAATTACTCTAACTAAACATAGTACCCTTAAAAAACAAGTTCATAAAAATGTAGAAATGAAATTGTGGAATAAGATTACTGGGATATATATATACACACACACATTCAATGCATACACAGAAGTACAAGGGGGTTTTGTTTGTTTCTTTGTTTTTAAGTTTGGAAGGTTGTTAGACAAACGGAACTAGTAAGCAATGCTCAACTCCTGAGTTCCTCAACCAAGATAACCATACGCTAATTTTTTAATTGTTTTTATCTTTTTTTATACACAAGATATTCCATGTAAAGCAGCAACAGCAGTGCAGTTACTGGTAGCAACATCTCAAAAGTAATAAAAAAACCCATACATCCAGACAGTAGTACATTGCACACACACGTGATTCTCATACACCCATCAACAATTGGTCAGAGTATTAAATCAGTGTACAAATTAAATATTTCCAAAAATGTGCAAAAAAGTCAACGTTGATAGAAAAAAACACCTTTGTGTACATACATTACAAACTGTGCCCAGCATTCAACTGAGAGTAAAAACATTTACAGTGAGAAACTGATAGATTAAATAGAGAATTTAATGGCTACATAAAAATGTACATTAGATCGAGTAAATTTACAAATTTTTATTCATAGCTTCATGAAAACTAAAAGCCTACGCTCCAATTCATCTAAGTCTCCTCCACGTATTTACAGTGATAATTCCATTACACGACTCCTGCGAGGTCTGAGATGACAGACACTATGCTTTAATAAACCGTTCCAATTTTAGGATGACACCACCTTTTATACTGGTATCAACAAGAAACAAACACTAGGGAACCGACAATCTAATGCCCGTTCAGAAAACAAAATGCAATCCTTGTTTTTAAACCCACATTATATAACCCCTGGGGAAAAGGATCGTCTGGTTTTGGGGTAAAAGACGTGAAAAACCTCTGAAGTATTTCCCATGAATATCCACTCTGGAGTTAGAGTGTCCTTTTCCTCATCTCTCGACAGAAGACCCTGACCTCCAATCCTCATCGGTGGACTCAACGTAAGGGCTGAACCATGAGATACAATTTTTATGTGTTTTAATCCAGTTCCTCTCCCGTTAAAGTAAGTTTATGAAAACTACGACCTAGCCAAAGCGTGACTGCTCGCATCGGTGCTTTGAAACATGAGAAATTTCGTTTCCTCCATCCCATCTACCCCTCAAATACGTACGTGTATATATTGCTAGAGAAAACCCAAGGGTTGCTCCAGCAAGCGGGGAGCTGCAGCGTCCTGGGTTCAAGCGGTGGGGCCCTGGCAGAAAGCTGTACATTAACTCGCACCGTATTCAGGAACTATCGGTGGCCACCACCTATGCGGTATTTAAGTTATGCCAATGAGAAAGAAAAATAAACCGTGCAGGCCAAGTGGGGGAAATCAAAAGAGAAAGGAGCTCCTTTGTTTCTGATCAAGGATTTTGATTCAGAAACCCCCGGTCGGTAGCAACTCTGCCTGCCCCCTTTGGTGTACGTTTGTGGCTCCTCCCGAAGGCAGCATCGACACCCAGGTAACTGTGGGTGACATTTGGCTGTCGCGTCTAGCGGACAGCTTCCCAGCAGCTTTGAAGTGTTCTTACTATGGCGCACAGAGCGGTTCAGGTCACAAATCTACTTATCTTCATGGCGTTCCTTAAATGTCCCAAAGCTCAAACCTGGCTATAAAAGCCACCAGGTTTAGTCACCAAGCTTATGCATTAATTTTAGAATGACAACTATAAGATTAAGTTCAAAAGAGTTTTAAAAAGCAAACCCTTCATTTTAATGCCGGCATGAATTTTGCACATCAAAACAGCAACTATAAACACCCAAATCTCTTAAATATGGGCAGTGTCTATCACTTTTTACTAGTACCTGCTTTACTCAGTTAGCAATAGCTTACTGATGGATATATATGTATCTATAGGTAACAGTACTAACCCATAAACATCACTTTTGGCTATATGTATATATGGGGATAGAAAAGCTTTGGTAATTGTATGTGATTTTACACTGCAGACTTGTCATTAACACAAGACAGCAAGTCACCAGCAAGAAGAAATGATACTGGCGGTAATACTTCTGCTTTTCCAGAAACACCAGAGGGACTTACATTCAAACACAAACATTATGCTTTTCTATATGCGTGACAAAGACTTTCGAGATTAAAAAAGTAAGAAATTGGTTATAAGTAACTGTAGATCTGACCAATTTGCTCAAGTCTCTGAAGCTGCAGTTAGACATTGCTCTATGTTGTCCGAAAGAATAGCTTGCTGTACTGCGCTGTACCTACAGGTGCTACAAGGCTTTCAGTCAAAACAACGGCAGGATTAGGATTATCCAAAAGACACAGGAGAGAATTTCATGGGCACGGCACTAGCTTCACTGAGAAACCTGTTGATTTGCTTAGACACATCATATCCCTCTGTATTGAAAGTAAATAGCTTTTAATACAGTACCACGTTTACAAATGTACCGACTATAATTTCAAGTCCATTAAGAACGCTGCTGCGGTCTCTACAGTAAACCCAGAGTCTAGTACCCAGAGCCAGGGAGCTAAATCTCCACTCTAATAGTATTTCTCTGAGTGCAGAAAAGTCCTTTTTCTGGTATGCGCATCAGTGTACAATCTCCAAAATGCAAATACAAAACCTGTATTAGCACAGGAGGCCTTCGGGCAGCGCTCCAAAAATCACTTTGTAAAATTCTCAATTTGAATGTCTGCAGCAGATTATAACTAAAGTACACTTTCCAGTGCAGTTAGGTGAATTCCGGTTTGGGCACTTTGAAAAAACCCATACTCTAAGACTGTTTTGGTGACATGGAATTGTATGACAGATTTCAATATGGTGTTCTAATATCAACAAAATTAAGGCATACAGATAAAAAGGCACTAGCTAAAGAAAACCAACACTAATAACTTTTCACTTTGTTATACTGAAAGGACTGTTTAGCTACAAATCGAATTGCAAGTCAAGTTAAAATTTTAAGACTATATTTAAACAGTCAAGGAAAAAAGTCTATGTAGATTTAGCTTTGCAGTTACCAGATCCATACCTTTTAAAGTCTTTGCATGGATATTTCTATCACCCAAATTAAAAATAAACAACTTGCTCTAACACAACTGAAACTTTCAGTCGCACTCTAAAAGGACAGTTAGTTACACCATTAAAACCATAGTACAGAAGTAGCTTGACTTTTGTTACTTAATACATGCAACGAACAGAATAATAAAATTCATTAGCAGGTAAGTAAGTCCTTTGAAAATATGCATACTTAGTGCGAACCTCAGTCATTTTTTGAGAGCATAGCTTCATCATGGCATTTACAGAAAAGCAAAACAACCCTGCAACAGTTTGTTTTCATTGGTGTTTTCTAGTAATTGGATTCAACAATTAAGAATAATTCATGATTCTAAAATGCTGGTGTCTTTGTTGGTAAGATATTAGAAGTTGTGAGCAGGGATCTTGGCTCTGCAACCCTCCTCCAATGGAGTTTTAAGTGTGCAATTCCATGCGCCCTCTCAAATTCCAGAACTAGGGTTTGTTCATTATCACGCCAGTAGTTAATGCAAGTGTCGTACAGACATTGCATACAGGGGTACCACATTATTTAATGCAGCTTGTTTTACTACATTGCCCCAATAGGGGATAAAGATTAGCTAACCTTTTGGTAAAAGTCTGATTTAGCTTCATAATTATTTCTAGCTCAAAACATTTACGTTAATAACCATCTAATTTACTGTAAGTTGCTTAAGTCAGTAGACAAATTCTCCATAGGGTGGAAAAAAAACCAGCTCAAGCCTAATCTTGGTTAATTAATAAAAATTTTACTAGAATCACTGGAACTGGCAAATGTCATCTTCATTTAAGAAGCACTATCTTTACATTGACAACTTTCTGATATGTCAAAGAAATTAAGGAAAATGCAGTCTGCAAATTCTTTTTTTCCTCGCTCCAAAATGCTTACCGTTGTCATGACTGAATGCCATTTTTTAGAAAAGGCACAAAAGCAGCAAACTCAATTATTCAGTAATTAAGAATCACAATGAGGAAGTGATATTGCAATATACATCCAGCACTGTTGTCTCACAAAAAGGACACATTATAAGAAAACTAGATTCTGAAAATTTTCAAGCTTCACAGAGTGCAGTTTCTTTTTATAGTAGTATATTTAAATGTTATGAACGCTACAGATAAACCTGGTTACATTTTCCCTTTAATGTCCTTTTTTGGTAATACAAAATTTCCTTACCTTTTCACATATCGCTGTCCACTCCTGATTTTTGTATACATTTTCACCCCGGTTTTGGTACCTTCTTAATCTGATTGAAATCAATCATTTCCATTATATGATCTTTAAATTTCCTACACAAACTATTAGGCTCTACATTAAACTTCCCATCCCTGTTGTCACTAAATTTTGCTTATAAAGCAAAGGTCCTTTACAGCAGAGTACATACCAATTCTCCTTAAAGGCTGCTTTCATAGCTTTTATCTAGTGACAGAGAAGCAAAAAAAAAAAAGTCAGTACAAGCTGACTTTCCTTTCAGCCTTCTAAACTTGCCCTGACTAGTTCTTACCACGCTCAGAAAAGCTTGCACAGTTGTGTACCCTGACCGACAAAATTATAAGCTGGGTAAAATACTCACATAAACCGACGGAGGCACCGCTCAGTCTCAGGAGAGATGGCCTCAAAAAAGTCAGTCTTACTCCACTACAGGTAAAGTGATTAGGATAGATCCATACTCCTGCTTATGCTCTGGTACAAACTTTGGAAGTCAGCAGAATAAATTCAGAAATCTCACGAGTGAACTACCATGGGAATGGATAAGCTTATTGTTCTATCTCCATGCACCTCATAATTCTGAGAGTCCTGTAAAGATGCAAAACAGGTAGAGCCTTGTCAGAGTGGACAAGGTTCACAGTACCAGCCCGCTCTGCCTTTACAAAACAACAGCAGCAAGCAATGAATCATCCAAAACAGTATACGTTATTTCAGTTCTGTAGTCCAATAGTTTATTTCCAAATATCCTTTTAAATTATTTATGTTGTGTTCTTCTACAAAAATTCACTACACCTGATCAATACCTGACTTCTCGATTGAGAAGCAGTATTTCAGAGTTTTACTTTTGTTCTTTTATAATACTCTTGCAGAAATGGAAAAAGTGATTAATGTATGTTTTATGACAGTTGGAAATCTGACAAACACCAATCATCTGGATTATCAGGCTGGAGTAATCACACTCATGTTACTTAATTGCTGGCTCTCTTTGCGCTTTTGGCCTATTCTTCATACAATCTTTTGTGCTGTGCCTCCTTGTTCATGCGGATTCATCATCGCTACCTCATTAAAAAAATGTAACTGGACTCTTATCTTTCTCAGTGACTTATTCCTGGTGTTAAAAGATGTTTAAGTTCATTTCGGGAATTTTCAACATATCCTAGATCACTGAACTGTGTTACTAAAACAATTTTTTTAGTGCATATCGGGAAGAATTTTATATTGTTCAGGCACTTGATGTTGACATACATTCCATCCTAGCACCTTTCAACAGCTTTGAAAACATTTCTTATAGCTCATTCTGAATCAAGGAACTCGTATACCGCACAAAGATTAGTCACTCCCCTTCCTCTCCAGCCATTAATGGGATTGTGGAGGAGAACTGACTCTCAACATCACTATTTATTCTTATCTAAGATAACCGTCTCCCTCCAAGCTTATGCAACAGAGGTTCTCTTTGGCAGATACAGCAGGAGGCATTCTCCTAAATATTTACATCCAACAGCTGACCCTTGTCTATGGAAATTTTCCCCTTGCAGTATAATAGTTCCCAGGAGTCTGGGTCCATAATCTGTTTACCTGTAATTATATTCCTATTAAGATAATACAATAGTTCTACACCAAAACCTCTAACTAGTACATCAGTGTTGAGTTCTTTTTTGTTATTTTCTTTTGGTCACATGGAAGTACCGGTTAGACACGCTACCGTACAAAGAGTTCCAAGTTCTTCCAGCTTTATCATTAACTCTCAGGACTGCATGTTCCAGCTTAAACTGTGAAATCCAGAAACTGATTAAAATGCTAAAATATAATAAGAACTTAGAACTCTCTGCCGCAAGTACCTACGATATAAAGAAGAATCACAGAGAAGTAACCTTCTTGTCTTTTAGCTGCATGTCTATTTTTCCCTGCACCCTGAGTCAGTCAGCGGTGTCAGAAAAAGTCACACAGTTCCTGACTGTCCAAGCATTTGTCTTTTTTTTTTTCCCCTTTAAATAAGGAACAAATATGTACTAAAGTGCTTTATCTACATGAACCACATCAGTACATTATAGAAACAAAAAGTTCTAGTCCTGGTGGGAGCGGGGGAGAGAAGATTCTCATTTTAGGTACAAAATTTAGATTGTTTACAACCTAAGTGAAACAAAGATTCAAGAGAATATTCTCTCTTGTCTTTTTTCTCCTTTTCTTGTAAAAAATAAAAATAAAAGTGCAGTCAAATAGAAAATAAATGCAGTAGATGCAAGCTGAGTTGAGGCAGGCTGTTAGTGATAGTGTGCAAACGTGTGTCTTAGCAGTTCATCTGCAAATGGTCGCAGCTTGGCCTCGATAAAAATCCGTTTCAAGAAATCCCGAGCATGGTCGGAGACATGAGGTGGTAGCTGGGGGTTGGTTGGCTGAGTGGCAATTTTAAAGATGGCAGCCATTGCTTCGAACTCTGCCCACGGGGGCTTCTCAGTGAGCATTTCTACCACTGTACAACCTACGCTCCTGAAACAGAGGCAGAAGTGAAACAGCAGGTTACAACAGAATCATGCCCTTCTAGGAAAACAAGAAATAGCAGAGAGCGACTAAAATACCACAAATAAGTAGTGTCCACTTAACTCTACAGAGCAACTTCAGCGGAAAACAGGTGTTTATAAAAAATTGCATGTACAGCTATACGCTTTATCTGAAAGTTACACAAATCACCACCTACATCTTCACTTTATTACTTCACTGGGCCAAAAGCTACTACCTCAGTGAAGAGATAATTAGATATTTATCTAGGCAATACCAACTGCGTTATGGCACTGCTGCTATTCAATGCTCAGCAGGCTGATACAGGCCACGAGTGCTGCACAACCCTTGTACCCCAGCTCTTCAGACACCTGCAGGATTTGAATGCACTTGAAAGCTTTCTTGCTCATTAAGGCCTAACCAAAATGCAAAGCAACAGGAATGCTTTGAGTATACTGCATATATTGCTAGCTCATTAGAAATGCACAAGCTATCACCCATTAATAATGTGCAAACACAACATGGCAGCTGAAAAGTTTAAAACTGTATGTCCTTTTAGTTAAGGACACTAAAAATATACTTAGATTGCCAAACACAATTTTAAGATCCTAAACAATCCTTGCATACAAAGCTTATGTTTAAAGGATTCAGGAAGGCAGAGGGGCATGCATATGGCCAGAAAAACTTTGTTCCATAAGTCCTGCAAGATCAGCCTCTTCCTATAACAAGCGAATGATACTGCAAAATAGATAGGTTGGAATAATTTCCCAATTTTCAGGAAGTTTTACGGTTTTTCAACATGTTTGCAAGAAGTTTTATGGTTAGACGGAGGTACATTTCTTTACACAATAAGGATTTACTGACTGACAGAAGTCAAACTTCAGCATTTTTTCTTAGTTTTAACCAGGATTTTCTCCATCAAAAAACATGCATTAGCCTTGGTACAAATACTTCGAAGTTGAACGAGTCAACTGCCTGAAATCTATAAGGCTGTTCTATTATTCAAGTATAGCAGAATAATTACTAAGTGATCTGAAGTAGGCTAAATTAATTTCCCTGACATTAAAAGTATTGTCATTGGTTGGATATAATGTGGTTCCTTTTTAAACACACAAAGTGTTTCTCCTCCTGCATATCTACTGTTGCCTACCTGTTACTCTGTGTGTTCGCAAGTCACCTGCGGTTCAAGGATTCTAATCGCTAAAATCATCTGTCCATTGGGCTGGAGCTATGTTAGACTATGTCATATTACACAATGTACCACAAACATCCATTTTTGAAATTTGCCTTTCCCTCTTAATTCTTAAATATTTAATAACAATTTAAACCAAATTATTTTTTGATACCTTCCATTTAAATCTGGCTAATTCATTCTTACGTGCTCATCTTTTAAAGGGCCAGCATTTCGTTTTCTGCATTGCATCAAAGGTATTTTCAGTGATAAAGTTTCATTACAGGACATTGACTTAACTGGTGCTTCAAAGCTTCACATGTTGCTTTCACCCCGTACCTCTCCACGATTTACACACAGTCTGGTAATCCTAACTTCATGCAAGGTCAGTTCAAAGGATTCTCTTACGATCCCTAAATCAATGGGCTGAGGAATTGCCAAATGAAAAATTCCCAAATTACAGTATTACGCTCTCCAAATATGACTGTCAGTGCTCACACTTGCCACCTTCTTCAGCTTAAACCCCAGAATGAAACACTCCAACTTCAGAAAACAAACACTTACGCTCTGTTGAAAAAGAGCCCATTCTGACATGACACCTTTCAGTAGAGAAGTTTTTTTTTAACGTACCAGATATCTGCTTTTCTGCCGTACCCTTCTCCACTAATAACTTCCGGACTCATCCAGTATGGAGTTCCTGTGACAGACTTCATTCCTGTACCAGAGAGACATATCGTCTGCAGTCGTTTGCTGGCACCAAAGTCACCGAGCTTCACATTGCCTGCTGAATCTCGCAGAATATTTGCTCCTGGAAGGAAGGGAACACAGCGTTACATTCACGAAAGGCCCATTTCCATTGGTGTGGAAAATGGTAGCAAAAGTTTGGATTCAGTGATACAATGCAAGGTCAGCCTAGTATTTCAAGCCAGCGAATTCACTTTCTCTGCTCATTCCTATTACTTTATTCTGAGGTTCAGAAAACAATGAATTGTACACACTGGTTTGCATGCTAGGCCTTTCCAGGGAAGTCCCAGGCACTTTGTAAAGCCTTCCTGACAAAATAAGGAATGTGCCATACAAGGGAAATAAAAAGAAATGGGAAAGAAGTTTCCACACAACTGAAAATGTCTTCGTACTATATTAAAGCGAAATCTCAAACTGTTACTAATTTGTTCAAAACACTTATCTGCATAATTATGTACAAATTGACCGTGATATCTCAACCTTTTTGGAACAAAACACTATTGATACAAAGCAACAGGAAAATTGTAAGTTTTAGGGAATACAACAGCGTTTTGTTCAACACACCTATTTTGAACATCACCATCTTCCTACATATTTGTAACTTGCTTATGTAGTACTTGCAAGCCACTTATATCTATCTGCAAAAAGTAAATATGTCTGTTTCCTTGGGTTTCCTGGCAGTAAAATGGAAGAAGTCTGAGTCAGTTGATGAGGCAAGTCACCTCTGCCAGTCATTTCTTGTACCAGTGAAGTTCTGGGTGATTTCTATGTAACTGATAGAAACAAAATGCTGTAAAAATAAACTTTTGAGTCATGATGCTTTCCTCTGCACGTTCTATTTCTAATGACATCATCCTTTGATATATCCAAAATTGTTAATACTAAACTAAAATCAGAAAGAAATTTATCATGATTGTTTTGCAGACAGAGACTACGGAAACATTTTCAGAAGTCTGCTAGAACATCACAAAGATGCTTATTTTTTCCCCCTCGGGTTACAACAGTGACAAGAATAAATGATGGAAAGCAACCTCATTGATTTTAAGTCAGTATTTTGGCATTTCAAACTTAATGACGTTTTAGTGCTTCACACAAGACTAGAAAAGAATTTGTAGTAAAGAGCACTGAACTGTGCACAGAACTATCGTTACCTTTAATATCTCGATGAACAATCATATTACTGTGCAAATAGTGAACTCCTTCCAAAATCTGCCGCGTATATTTACGAGTCACATTCTCTGTGAGCGCTCCATATGATTTCAATTGGTCTTTGATGGAACCCTGTGGCAAACAAGAAGTATAAAACACTGTAACATTTCTAGAATCACAAGTGGGCTAACACTACAGTTGAACGTCAGTGAAATTTATTCCCAAAATGTAAACATTTAAAGTTGCAATAGTTCTCCAGATCAACTTAAAAGCACAAATATAGTTTTACCTCCACTGAGAAAAATACAAACTTTGACAAAAAAGAGGCTGGACAGAGAAGTCATATACTGAAATGTTATTAACTTTAAAACTGTCAAGCAGCTGAATAGTTCACCAGTGTGATGTACAGCAAAAGAACAGCAGTATTTTCACTCAAACACCACTCTCAACTTTTTTGATGGTTAAATGGCGATACTCAAGTTGGACAAAACACGTGCCATTTATCTTGGTTAGTTTACACTCAGGAAAAAAAATGGTTGTCAAGAAAAAAACACCACATGCTGGAGGACGGTGCTTTATGCAAAAATTAAGAGGTAAGCAAGTCTTGGCTTAAAATGACATTTAATGAAAAATTCATGGTTTCGTAACTGTTTCTATATAACCTGGCTTTGTCACACAGAGTTACAAACTGCTAAGATTACTTCTGTGACACTGTCCTCCAAGTCTCAGAAACATTCAACAAGCCCCCCAAAACAAAGCCCAGAACTCACATTAAAAAAACCACAACAAAAACCACCAAACAAACAAAAAACCCCACCACCACAAACAATGCCCCCCCTGCTTTTCTTCTCTGGAGTTGCACAGTAAAGTAGAATGCTCTAACTATTCAGAAATACAGAGCCTATGTTTTTATACAAGCACATTTTATTTAGCTCTGCTGACCCCACTTGGGAAGAAAATGAAAATCTACAGTTTTCTGACCTTATAATATTTCTTAACAAAAAAGTAAGAGTAGAAGAACAGTTCATCATGTACCTAAGTGCCACACAAAAAACAAGCACCAAGATTATTTTCTGTATGCACTTATTCCCACATCCATCTTAGCTACTTTTTGTTTTCCCGAAATAATTGAGCAGTTGAGATGGTGACTACACAACAGCACAAGCTGAAGCACAGCAAAAAAAACATTAAAATTCAGGAAGATTCAAGAGTTTATAGTCATAATATTGTCTTTTCAAAGACATTGCCAGGCACTTCTTATGCCAAAATCAAATGCAAACAGCTTTTGTACAAACCACTAATTCTGAAAACCCAAACAAGCAATGGAGAAGATATGGCTACTGACAAATGCTTACAGGAGCCTCTTTGGCTACTGTTTTTAACTTGGACATTGCTTTAATATCTGTGTGCACTTCCGCAAAAGCTGTCTACTTGGGTGCTCGTCAGTCATACTGTGTAGAAACGATGGTTGAAGTGGACTGGCTTTCTTGCTTACCCCAGGCATATATTCCATGAATATAGAGAGTGTTCTTTCTGGTGGATCTCTCAAGAAACCATAATACTGAACAATTCTTTCATGCAGCAGATTTTTCAGCAACTGAATCTCACATTCAAGTGCATTTACTTCCTAAAAGGAAAAAACAGACAAGATTTACCATGCTTGATGTAGTAATAATAATGTTTTGGATTGGGATTTTTTTAAAGCAGGACAGTATGCACATATTGAAGGGTTATGCAAACTAAGTAACAAAATACTCTTGTAGCTTATATAAATTTTATACATCTTATAACAAGAAAATATCACCATTAGATTGAGGGAAGTAAAAAAACCTATGGCTTTTCTAGAAAATTACTTTGGGGTGATTTTGCTGTTATTTCATTGTTTCTCTTATTTTGAAGTTATGTTTGTTTCAGAGCACAGCAGTTATTAATATGTGTATGAAGTCAGTGATCATTATGCAACATGTCACAAGCCTCCAATTGGGTAAAAAAAAAAATCATTAAACCTTGCTTCCCACAGTGCAGAACACAGTCCTAATGCAGGAAAAGTAATCATTCTTTTTCCATCCTGTAAGAGGCAGCAAGTATGGTTTGGGAAAAAAGAAATAGAAGATGGGTGCTACTTTTAAATAGTTTCTCTCCTCAAGTGAGCAGTATTTAAAGAAGGACAAGTTCAATTTTAGAGAGAGAATAAACTGACAATGAAACTTTTGTTCTTCAGAGAGAAATACAGCGAATAACAGTAGCTAGCCCTAATGCCCAAAGTTTTAAAAAAATAAAAATCACAAAACCAAATCCCTCTGAAAGATAAAAAAAAGATAAGAATCTCAAACTGTCTTCATAGCCAAACAAAGTATCTTCAAGAATTTATTTTCAGGAACACTTAAATTAGTACAGATTTTTCTGTTTATAAATGGAACTTGTTCTAATTCCTATAAGTATAAATAATTATCTAGTTCAGAGCACACTTCATAAGGGATTGTTGAATGTTAGAGACTGAGACCGCACCAAATTAAGTTATGTATGTTCACTGCATAAGGATATGTCTGAAAATTAAAAGACGGGATGTAACATTAAAATCAGGTAACCAAACTAATTCTCGGAGGTACTAACAAAACAGGATTCCTAACAAGGACATGAAAACACAACATGTTGTGTTTTAAAACATCATCCTGTTTGAGGAAAGGAACATCAGCCTAGTCTAGAACACACCACTTAACAGAAGCCCTTTACAAACTCTCTCTTTGGTATCACTTACCTTGCTGGTTTCTGGACTATCAGGATCAAACTGAACTTGTTTAACAGCCAGTTCTCTTCCGGTATCGGCATCATAACACAGATATACCCTGCCAAATGCACCTTGACCCAGCAGTTTACCAAGTCTCCAGTTAGTTGGAGCTCGTGGTGCTGAAAATATAAGTATGTTTTGGTTTTCAAATGAGCTTGTTATTCAGCTGATCAAGAAAAACTGGAATACACAGAAAATAGTTTTTTAAAAGACTACGTTTTTCAACAACAGAGACTGTGCGTCCTAAACCTCCCCATTTAAGTTACAAAGATCAATAAAACTTGAA